TGTATTTGACAGTGTTAACAAAACTCCACCAACACAAACAACCAACTGTGTATTTGACAGTGTTAACAAAAATCCACCAACACAATCAACCAACTTTGTATTTGACAGTGTTAACAAAACTCCACCAACACAATCAACCAACTGTGTATTTGACAGTGTTAACAAAACTCCACCAACACAATCAATAGGAGAACATCTTTAAAGAGAACCACACACAGAAAACAACACTCCAACAACACAATCAACCAACTTTGTATTTGACAGTGTTAACACAACTCCAACAACACAATCAACCAACTTTGTATGTGACGGTGTTAACAAAACTCCATCAACACAATCAACCAACTTTGTATTTGACGGTGTTAACAAAACTCCACCAACACAATCAACCAACTGTGTATTTGACAGTGTTAACAAAACTCCACCAACACAATCAACCAACTGTGTATTTGACAGTGTTAACAAAACACCAACACAATCAACCAACTGTGTATTTGACAGTGTTAACAAAACTCCACCAACACAATCAACCAACTGTGTATTTGACAGTGTTAACAAAACTCCACCAACACAAACAACCAACTGTGTATTTGACAGTGTTAACAAAAATCCACCAACACAATCAACCAACTTTGTATTTGACAGTGTTAACAAAACTCCACCAACACAATCAACCAACTGTGTATTTGACAGTGTTAACAAAACTCCACCAACACAATCAATAGGAGAACATCTTTAAAGAGAACCACACACAGAAAACAACTCCTTGTTATGGGGAAGTAGTAAATCCATAAGAGAAACACTGCAAACGGAAAACTTCAAATCTTAATGACATAATAGTTTTTGAGTTTTTTTTTAAATTCCCATTACCCAGTAGCCAAATATTAAAAGTTACTTCCCTTAGTTTAAAAAAATTTAATATGAATTGCGTATGATTTCTTCTTTAAGACCAAACCATATAGACGATGTGTTATCCAAATAATAATAGTAATCTTTAATGTCTAGCTTTAGAATATTCACATTTTTCTAAATAAACGTCACTGGCAGATATGATTCTTTGATTTATATTTTCATTGTTTCTATAGAATAGTAGTTACTATCCTAGTGTCTCATTTGTATTTACTTAGTTTACATGTTTTAATAATTGTAAAGCGCTTAGAGCTTTATGATAAGCGCTATATAAAAATGCCTAAATAAATAAATAAATAAATATTAAAATATTAGTATCTAATTTAAGGCATGGAGTCACATGAGTGAGTAAACTTCAACCAGATTTGAAAATATAATACCTGTGTATAGTTAGGTGGGGATCATTTTAAGAAAAGACATCAATAACATCTGAAAGTGTAAATAACAAACAGAAATGGGCAGTTGCATCCGTTAAAAACAAACTTCGAAAAGTTCTTTTCATCAGAACAGTCATACACCTGAGGGCTATTTTTATATCTGCCCTTGACATTGATATTTTATAATTATCAGTTGCAATACCTATATCTAAATAATTTTTATTATTTATTAATATTATAACATGTATTCTACAGGTGCATCTTCTAGAATATTCTTTTAGCAACACATAAGGAGTACCCCACCTTGGAACTATACAAACAAAACAGTTTGTGTCCAATATTAGCTATACAGGAGTATCCTACATTGGAACTATACAAACAAAACAGTTTGTGTCCAATATTAGCTATACAGGAGTATCCTACATTGGAACTATACAAACAAAACAGTTTGTGTCCAATATTAGCTATACAGGAGTACCCCACATTGGAACTATACAAACAAAACAGTTTGTGTCCAATATTAGCTATACAGGAGTATCCTACATTGGAACTATACAAACAAAACAGTTTGTGTCTAATATTAGCTATACAGGAGTACCCCACATTGGAACTATACAAACAAAACAGTTTGTGTTCAATATTAGCTATACAGGAGTATCCTACATTGGAACTATAAAAACAAAACAGTTTTTGTCCAATATTAGCTATACAGGAGTATCCTACATTGGAACTATACAAACAAAACAGTTTGTGTCCAATATTAGCTATACAGGAGTATCCTACATTGGAACTATACAAACAAAACAGTTTGTGTCCAATATTAGCTATACAGGAGTACCCCACATTGGAACTATACAAACAAAACAGTTTGTGTCCAATATTAGCTATACAGGAGTATCCTACATTGGAACTATACAAACAAAACAGTTTGTGTCTAATATTAGCTATACAGGAGTACCCCACATTGGAACTATACAAACAAAACAGTTTGTGTTCAATATTAGCTATACAGGAGTATCCTACATTGGAACTATAAAAACAAAACAGTTTGTGTCCAATATTAGCTATACAGGAGTACTCCACATTGGAACTATACAAACAAAACAGTTTGTGTCCAATATTAGCTATACAGGAGTACCCCACATTGGAACTATACAAACAAAACAGTTTGTGTCCAATATTAGCTATACAGAAGGAGTATCCTACATTGGAACTATACAAACAAAACAGTTTGTGTTCAATATTAGCTATACAGGAGTACTCCACATTGGAACTATACAAACAAAACAGTTTGTGTCCAATATTAGCAATACAGGAGTACCCCACATTGGAACTATACAAACAAAACAGTTTGTGTCCAATATTAGCTATACAGGAGTACCCCACATTGGAACTATACAAACAAAACAGTTTGTGTCCAATATTAGCTATACAGGAGTATCCTACATTGGAACTATACAAAAAAAACAGTTTGTGTCAAATATTAGCTATACAGAAGGAGTATCCTACATTGGAACTATACAAACACAACAGTTTGTGTCCAATATTAGCTATACAGGAGTATCCTACATTGGAACTATACAAACACAACAGTTTGTGTCCAATATTAGCTATACAGGAGTATCCTACATTGGAACTATACAAACACAACAGTTTGTGTCCAATATTAGCTATACAGCAGTATCCTACATTGGAACTATACAAACACAACAGTTTGTGTTCAATATTCACAACAAAATAGAATTATTTCAATGTTATGTACATATATTTATACTGTTCAACATCGTCAGTTCTCAGCCTTGTGACCTGAACTCACATCTCTTCTGCCATAAACCTGAAATTAGAAGCCCAAATGTGTCATAGCATTCGTAGGGCCCTATTCCCCATTAACACATAAACAGCCATTGGACAGATGTCAAATGTATTTCAATGGTTGGCATCAGAAGTATGTCATTTGATCAATAATAGGAAGTCATTGCTTTAAGACTGAGATAAATTCCATCATTTTTAAAACTGTAGATAGTTGAAATTTTAAAAATCTACAATATTATATCCAATAACACCTGCCTGGGTACCATTCAGCCAAACTTGAGAAACACTGAATGCTAGACAAAGGGATTTAGGGGATACTATAATAATGGTATACTATAATGATGGTATACTATGATGGTATAATATAATGATGGTATACTGCAATAATGGTATACTATGATGTGGGTATACTATAATGATATACTATAATGATGGTATACTATAATGATGGTATACTATGATCATATACTATGATGTTATACTACAATGATGGTATACCATAATGATGGTATTGGTACACTACAATGATGGTATACTATTATGATGGTATACTATAATGATGATCTACTATAATGATAATGGCTATATAAGACAAAGACCAGATTAATATGATAATTTTATTAATACGAATAGAAAATTTTGTAAATCTTATCGTCAATACTTCAATGTATTGTTGTTTGCAAAAATCAAATTTCTTTGGCTGGACCCAGTATAGTCAGCATAGTAATGTTTGCATAGTTGATCAAGTAGATCATTGCTTTTTTTTAAAGTGATTACGTCAACAGTCATGTCTCAATGTCTCATACAGCACATAAATCATTATGGAGGAAATCAAGCCAATCATTCAACCCTAATAATTAATACTGATAGTCAATTTATCAACCCTAATAAATAATACTGATATTCCACAAAGAAATGCACTTCAAATGAGACCAAATTAAATGAGACCAATCTAAATAAGACCAAATTAAATGAGACCAAGCTAAATAAGACCTAATTAAATGAGGCAAGTTAAATAAGACCTAATTAAATGAGACCAAGCTAAATAAGACCTAATTAAATGAGACCAAGCTAAATAAGACCTAATTAAATGAGACCAAGGTAAATAAGACCAAATTAAATGTGACCAAGCTAAATAAGATCAAATTTAATGAGACCAAGCTAAATAAGACCAAATTAAATGTGACCAAGCTAAATAAGATCAAATTTAATGAGACCAAGCTAAATAAGACGAAATTAAATGTGACAAAGCTAAATAAGATCAAATTTAATGAGACCAAGCTAAATAAGACCAAATTAAATGTGACCAAGCTAAATAAGATCAAATTTAATGAGACCAAGCTAAATAAGACCAAATTAAATGTGACCAAGCTAAATAAGATCAAATTAAATGAGACCAAGCTAAATAAGACCAAATTTAATGTGACCAAGCTAAATAAGATCAAATTTAATGTGACCAAGCTAAATAAGACCAAATTAAATGTGACCAAGCTAAATAAGATCAAATTTAATGAGACCAAGCTAAATAAGACCAAATTTAATGAGACCAAGCTAAATAAGATCAAATTTAATGAGAACAAGCTAAATAAGACCAAATTTAATGTGACCAAGCTAAATAAGATCAAATTTAATGAGACCAAGCTAAATAAGACCAAATTAAATGTGACAAAGCTAAATAAGATCAAATTTAATGAGATTAAGCTAAATAAGACCAAATTAAATGTGACCAAGCTAAATAAGATCAAATTTAATGAGACCAAGCTAAATAAGACCAAATTAAATGTGACCAAGCTAAATAAGATCAAATTTAATGAGACCAAGCTAAATAAGACCAAATTTAATGTGACCAACCTAAATAAGACCAAATTAAAAGTGACCAAGCTAAATAAGACCAAATTAAATGTGACCAAGCTAAATAAGACCAAATTAAATGTGACCAAGCTAAATAAGACCAAATTAAATGTGACCAAGCTAAATAAGATCAAATATTTCTGATGCAGGTGTATGCTGTTTTCTATCAATTTTTACAGCACCTGAATTATAAATAAAATGTGTTGGTCAACTGCTGATAAGTCATCTACTGCATTGGTCAGCAAATGTGTTGGTCATCTACAGTGTTGGTCAGAAAATGTGTTTGTGAACTGCCATGTTGGTCAACTGCTGTGTTGGTCAGCTGCTGTTAGTCAATTTACCGAGCTGGTCATCTACTGTGTTGGTCAGCAAATGTGTTGGTCAACTAATGTATCACTCTCTATTCAATAAAACGATTTCATGTAATGACTGTAACTAAGTTCATTTAGGAACCATTGGGATATTTCAACAAAGAGAGGATAACTTGTTTCTACTGCTTATTTTTTTCATTATACAAGGATTGAAAGCCAAATATGTCATCTTTATTTTTAACTTGAAAGTCTCGCCCGAGTCCACTAACAAAGTGTATGACGTAAGCAGTACCAATATTTGGCAGTTAATGAATTGACAGTCTCAATTTGAGAAAAATCAATATTGAAGTGGACCCCACAGAGTGACAAGAGAATTTCTAATATTGGGATCAATAAATAAGATTGCCAAAGTCTTATGTCATGTTTACACTAGATTAAAAAATCTATTTTCGACTCCTCATAAATAGAAAATAGATGTTGTCAAGACTATTTTGATGAAAAGCTAACAGAGAATAGACAAAATTTCACCCTTCAAATAGGTCTCTTATACAAGCACACTACCATACACTAACACACTACCTTACACTGCTGTACACCAAGACACTACTGTACACTAACACACAACCAAACATTAACTACACTACCATACACTGCTGTACATTACTATACTATACACTACTCTAGACTAACACACTACCATACACTAACACAACTAAAACTATTCTTTATCACTTTCAATCTGATAAACCAGTTTCATCAACCTCTACTTATAGCCCAAGGGTATAGACCAAAACAAATAAATTGACAGATTTATTGAAGTATGTTATTGATGGGTGAGTTATTGGTAGATTTTATTCTTTATATAATTGAGAATTTAAAGTCAAACTATCTCGTTTGATTACATGAACAAGAAACTCTTTGATTGAACTTAACTATTTAACAAACAGTTACGAAAACAAAGCATTCAAGCAGGAATTCTAAAAACACAGGATTATGGTAAGAAGACATGGCTGTTTGTTAAGTGGTAAGTGTGAGGTAAAAGATTATGGGTGTTTGTTTTGTGGTAAGTGTAAGTTAAGAAGATGTGGGTGTTTGTTTTGTGGTAAGTGTGAGGTAAGAAGATGTGTTTGTTTTGTGGTGTGAGGTGTGTGGGGTAAAAGATGATGGGTGTTTGTTTTGTGGTAAGTGTGAGGTAAGAAGATGTGGGTGTTTGTTTTGTGGCTAGTGTGAGGTAAGAAGATGTGGGTGTTTGTTTTGTGGCTAGTGTGAGGTAAGAAGATGTGGGTGTTTGTTTTGTGGTAAGTGTGAGGTAAGAAGATGTGGGTGTTTGTTTTGAGGCTAGTGTGAGGTAAGAAGATGTGGGTGTTTTTTTTGTGGCTAGTGTGAGGTAAGAAGATGTGGGTGTTTGTTTTGTGGCTAGTGTGAGGTAAGAAGATGTGGGTGTTTGTTTTGTGGCTAGTGTGAGGTAAGAAGATGTGGGTGTTTGTTTTGTGGCTGTGAGGTAAGAAGATGTGGGTGTTTGTTTTGTGGCTAGTGTGAGGTAAGAAGATGTGGGTGTTTGTTGTGTGGCTAGTGTGAGGTAAGAAGATGTGGGTGTTTGTTTTGTGGCTAGTGTGAGGTAAGAAGATGTGGGTGTTTGTTTTGTGGCTAGTGTGAGGTAAGAGGATGTGGGTGTTTGTTTTGTGGCTAGTGTGAGGTAAGAAGATGTGGGTGTTTGTTTTGTGGCTAGTGTGAGGTAAGAAGATGTGGGTGTTTGTTTTGTGGCTAGTGTGAGGTAAGAAGATATGGGTGTTTGTTTTGTGGCTAGTGTGAGGTAAGAAGATGTGGGTGTTTGTTTTATGGCTAGTGTGAGGTAAGAAGATGTGGGTGTTTGTTTTGTGGTAAGTGTGGGGTAAGAAGATGTGGGTGTTTGTTTTGTGGTAAGTGTGAGGTAAGAAGATGTGGGTGTTTGTTTTGTGGCTAGTGTGAGGTAAGAAGATGTGGGTGTTTACTTTGAATGAATTAGGGAAACAAATTGAATAATTACAAGAATGGAGGAATAAAATAATGTCATTTACTGGGTCATAAACAAATGAGAACATCCATTATAATCAACATATGAATCATCATCACACATTATAGTTATAGCTGACAACTCTTCATTTGTTCAAGAGAAAAAGCTTGTTAGTAATACTGTCTTCCCAGATTTTTTATTAGAACATGAAGTGTTCATAACAAGAACAGCCCCCAAAGAACAGTGGTAAAACAAATGTCACCACAAACTTAACGTGTTCAACACCAAACTAAATAATTCATCCAGTACCAAAGCCTAACATGTCATATAGTACCAGAACCAAACCATAATATCTCATGTAGTACCACAGTCTAATAGCTCATTTAATACTTAACTCTAACACCACATTTAGTAACAAAATCTAATACTAATATCTTAGTTATTACCAAAGTCTAACATCTCCTTTAGTACCAAACTCTAACATCTCCTTTAGTACCAAACTCTAACATCTCATTTAGTATCAAAGTCTAACATCTCATTTAGTACTAAAGTCTAACATCTCCTTTAGTACCAAACTCTAACATCTCATTTAGTACCAAAGTCTAACATCTCATTTAGTACCAAAGTCTAACATCTCATTTAGTACCAAAGTCTAACATCTCCTTTAGTACCAAACTCTAACATCTCATTTAGTACCAAAGTCTAACATCTCAATTAGTACTAAAGCACACAGGGGGCGCTGTCTAAACCCAAAACCTCTCGGGTAATTTTAAAACTTGCATCAAAGTAACTTTTAACAAGAAATTAAAGTACAAAAAAAATTAAATAAAGCAAGATTGCATAAAAATAATTAAAGTTATAGAGATTAAAATCAATATATATAGAACAAAACTGAAATCACATTATGACTTTCGATATAACTTAAAGCATAACACTACAGCATATGAAGTTAATTACTACCAGTACAAACAATCAGTCGGTTAGTCATTGAATTAAAGAAGTTGAAAACTCATCAAGTACAAGGAATGAAAAATCTAATGTGTCAAATGACCACTCAAAAAAGCAGAAAATTTAAAATATCCTCAAACTAAAAAATGAAATGTATTTGTCCATTCAAAGATTTAAGGACGTAACAATTAACTTGACATTCTTGGCTTTTATTAATGATGGTAATTTTATTGCATTGTACATCACATGCCATACCCAGATGGCCTGAGAACTTCATTTATTTCATTAGTCAATGTTGTGTAACAAACAAACCAATACAAAACACATACAAAAAAAATTGCCTTTAAAAAAGAATTTAAATGATATACCGGTATAGTATATTTATAAAAGTATGATAAAGTTCTAATTTACAGTGATGGAAATAAAGCTTGACTCAGTGACTAAAAAAGTTGGTGGTCAAATAAACACCTCCCCCCCTCCCCCCCACAGCCCGTGATTCCCAACCTTTTTATGGGTGCAACTCCACAGAAACAATATTGTGACTAAGACCCCATAAGTAAATGAAGCAAGAAGTTGACCTCTTATGACCCCAAAAGAGGGTTGTGACCCCAAAGCTGCTCACCACTGTCAAGATCAAAATGAATGGATGCCACTTTGTAAAGAAGGATTTCTATTGTTGGCTCACAACCCAAAACAGACCCGCTTTAAAAAAATAGCTGCTCAGATGCACATCCCAATTTTAAGTCTTAAAAATAAACTTGAAGAATGTAACACCTCTCTACAAAGTAAACATCAAATTACATATCTATCATGTCCCCATTCACTTAATATCATCCTTTCAAACATTATCATTTCTCTACTAGTACAAAACCACAGCCAGACTAGACTACCACAGCCAGACTAGACTACTACAGGCAGACAACTAGCTGGAATACAAAAATTGTATGTTAATTTTAATATTCCAGAAATAAACAGAATTTATAAAAACAATAATTTATTTAAATCAAAAAATTATTTTACAATCAAAAGGCCACTTTTCAAGTATCCCCACTACCTCTTTAATTTGTGTCTACCACTGGATAAAGCCGAGTTACTTGTAAGCCAACATGACATATGACACATGAAGCCAACATGACATATGACACATGAAGCCAACATGACATATGACACGTATGACAAAATGAAGCAATTTGAGTGGCTTAAATGCCAACTTACACAACTCTCATTAGAAACAGGTCATTATTTGGTATTCCCAATAAATGCAACAGAATTTTGTGCTGAATGACTTGAGCTGTTTAAACAAAAGGATGGAATGTTGGTCACAGCAAAGGTGATAGATGCTGACTGACAGACGCTGATTGACAGATGCTGATGTTCATAGAAGTACTTGGACAGATTTGGGACTAGTAGTAGAAAAGTAGATTTATGTCTGATTATTTTTCAGACTTTTATATTTTTGTATACATTTAAGTCTGACTTAAGTCTGGATACTATATATTAATGTCTGTAGAATGTCTGTAGAATGGTAATACATCCATGTCTGTTGCCTCTACAGGGAATCAACAAAGTTTTAAAATGTCCGTAATTCCTGCTCAAACACAGAAATGCATGCATTTCATATTTTACATTTTGTATAAGTTGTTGAAAATGGGTTTCTGTTAAGTGCAGTAGTCCTGTCAGACCTGCGGAAGATAACACAGGTGTTACACAAGGCTGGTTAGTGGGTAGGACACACGACATATTAAACACGCTGATGTGCCACACGAGGACCATTAGGTCAGGATTAGTTAGAAGCATTCAGGACTGAGATTGTCAAATATTGGAATTATGGGGCCACTCCGCAACACAGTTCATCAGATTCTATGATCATTAGCATAATTTGTAATCAACACTTCCCTCCATCTCTCATCTCAACATTAAACGATTTCCCAAAGAAAAATTTCAATGAAACAAATCTATGTTCACTACATGTGTTCAGGGTGATTCCGCAAGCAGTCCATCATGTCTTTGACCGGGAACTCTCCTTTACAGATTTTATGGACTGCTGTGAACAGGGGAAATCTAAAGAAAAAAAAAAATTACAATAATATTTTTGTATAAGTATTTTGAAGCCATGTTTACCCTTTCAGTCAAATAATGGCCCAAATCACTCTGCTTGGTTATGAAGGTAATTTTTGAATGGCCACACCCCATGCCCACTACGCCACCGACAGGGTTGAGCATTAACCGATTGGTTGAATAAATGATAACTCATGGGTCGATAAGTTATTGAAATATGAACCCACAAGTTTGATTGAAATATGAACCCACAAGTTTGATTGAAATATGAACCCACAAGTTTGATTGAAATATGAACCCACAAGTTTGATTGAAATATGAGCCCACAAGTTTGATTGAAATATGAGCCCACAAGTTTGATTGAAATATGAGCCCACAAGTTTGATTGAAATATGAGCCCACAAGTTTGATTGAAATATGAGCCCACAAGTTTGATTGAAATATGAACCCACATTTTTATTGAAATATGAACCCAAAAGTTTGATTGAAATATGACCCACAGTTTGATTGAAATATGAACCCACAAGTTTGATTGAAATATGAACCCACAGTTTGATTGAAATATGAGCCCACAGTTTGATTGAACTATGAGCCCACAGTTTGATTGAACTATGAGCCCACAGTTTGATTGAAATATGAGCCCACAGTTTGATTGAACTATGAGCCCACAGTTTGATTGAATTATGAGCCCACAGTTTGATTGAACTATGAGCCCATAGTTTGATTGAACTATGAGCCCACAGTTTGATTGAACTATGAGCCCACAGTTTGATTGAACTATGAGCCCATAGTTTGATTGAAATATGAGCCCACAGTTTGATTGAAATATGAGCCCACAGTTTGATTGAACTATGAACCCACAGTTTGATTGAACTATGAGCCCACAGTTTGATCATTCATGACACGCCCATTCTCTCAAAATGTAAAGAGTTTTCCAACCTTTCCTCCATATTCTTTGATTTGAGCATGTAATTGACTTCGTAAGCAGTTGGAGGACCTTGAAGCTTTTGTCCATCAAGCATTTCTTTTTCCAGTTCCTCTATTGACTGTGGAAGTAAAAAAGGGAAAGGTAATTATGGTATTTTAACTAGGACGGGTGGTTATGGTAGATGACCTAGAACATGTGATTATGATAGATGATTATGGTAGATGATTATGGTAGATGACCTAGAACATGTGATTATGATAGATGATTATGGTAGATGACCTAGAACATGTGATTATGATAGATGATTATGGTAGATGATTATGGTAGATGACCTAGAACATGTGATTATGGTAGTTGACCTAGAACATGTGATTATGGTAGATGATTATGGTAGATGACCTAGAACATGTGATTATGATAGATGATTATGGTAGATGACCTAGAACATGTGATTATGATAGATGATTATGGTAGATGACCTAGAACATGCGATTATGATAGATGATTATGGTAGATGACCTAGAACATGTGATTATGATAGATGATTATGGTAGATGACCTAGAACATGTGATTATGATAGATGATTATGGTAGATGACCTAGAACATGTGATTATGATAGATGATTATGGTAGATTATTATGGTAGATGACCTAGAACATGTGATTATGGTAGTTGACCTAGAACATGTGATTATGGTAGATGATTATGGTAGGTGACATAGAACATGTGATTATGATAGATGATTATGGTAGATGACCTAGAACATGTGATTATGATAGATGATTATGGTAGATGACCTAGAACATGTGATTATGATAGATGATTATGGTAGATGATTATGGTAGATGACCTAGAACATGTGATTATGGTAGGTGACCTAGGCTAGGTGATTATGATAGATGACCTAGAACATGTGATTATGGTAGATGACCTAGAACATGTGATTATGGTAGGTGACCTAGGCTAGGTGATTATGATAGATGATTATGGTAGGTGACCTAGAACATGTGATTATGGTAGGTGACCTAGGCTAGGTGATTATGATAGATGATTATGGTAGGTGACCTAGAACATGTGATTATGGTAGGTGACCTAGAACATGTGATTATGGTAGGTGACCTAGGCTAGGTGATTATGATAGATGATTATGGTAGATGACCTAGAACATGTGATTATGGTAGGTGACCTAGGCTAGGTGATTGTGATAGATGATTATGGTAGGTGACCTAGAACATGTGATTATGGTAGGTGACCTAGAACATGTGATTATGGTAGGTGACCTAGAACATGTGATTATGGTAGGTGACCTAGGCTAGGTGATTATGATAGATGATTATGGTAGGTGACCTAGAACATGTGATTATGGTAGGTGACCTAGGCTAGGTGATTATGATAGATGATTATGGTAGATGACCTAGAACATGTGATTATGGTAGGTGACCTAGGCTAGGTGATTATGATAGATGATTATGGTAGATGACCTAGAACATGTGATTATGGTAGTTGACCTAGGCTAGGTGATTATGATAGATGATTATGGTAGATGACCTAGAACATGTGATTATGGTAGTTGACCTAGGCTAGGTGATTATGATAGATGATTATGGTAGGTGACCTAGAACATGTGATTATGGTAGTTGACCTAGGCTAGGTGATTATGATAGATGATTATGGTAGGTGACCTAGGCTAGGTGATTATGATAGATGATTATGGTAGGTTACTTATAGTAAGGGAATGTGTGTCAAACTTATAGATAAAATAACTTTCTCTTATACTTATAGGACCAAATAAATGGAATGTTTTGTTATTACATTGTACATAACTGTAGCGGTACTCATCTCATGACATTGTACATAACTCTAGCGGTACTCATCTCATGACATTGTACATAACTGTAGCGGTACTCATCTTAAGACATTGTACATAACTGTGCCGGTACTCATCTTATGACATTGTACATTCTCATTTTCAGCACACAGGTAAATATGCTTACAAAGGAAAGATTTTAAATCTATTTTAAATAAACGAGACATCTACAATGTTTCTCAAGCACAAATAGCAGTTGTCATAAACCGTTCAACTTAACTTATTTAGTGACAATGTTATTTAAATTTTATAACTGCTGGCAACCCTAACCCTAATCCTAACCATGGTAACACTGATCATAACCATGGTAACACTGATCATAACCATGGTAACACTGATCATAACCATGGTAACACTGATCATAACCATGGTAACACTGATCATAACCATTGGTAACACTGATCATAACCATGGTAACACTGATCATAACCATGGTAACACTGATCATAACCATTGGTAACACTGATCATAACCATGGTAACACTGATCATAACCATGGTAACACTGATCATAACCATTGGTAACACTGATCATAACCATGGTAACACTGATCATAACCATGGTAACACTGATCATAACCATTGGTAACACTGATCATAGCCATGGTAACACTGATATCATAACCCTGGTAACACTGATCATAACCATGGTAACACTGATATCATAACCATGGTAACACTGATCATAACCATTGTTTATCTTTTGAGATGATTTAACTTTACAAAGAAAGACAGAACCAATTAGTTATGTACATAGCTGTAGATCAGCTATTGTTTGTATGTACACAAAGCTGTAGATCAGCTATTGTTTGTAGAATTGACTATGCTGGACTTATATGTACTTGTACTTCATCTCAATTATAAATGAGACTTGGAAAACCACAGACTTCATTTCAAGTCTGATGGAACAGATTTTTACTGGGTCAAACATTTGATTGGTGTTTACCTTTCCAGTCTTGGCAAAGGCCTCAGCCACTCGTCTGTTCCTACCACCGTAGCATGTTGTGATCAGGTCAGCTATACCACAGCTTTCAAAAAATGTCTCCAACTTGGAACCTAGAAAGGTTCAAATATTAAAACTCATTCTTCTAATGCTTACATGTAAGGAAATAACGTATGACAAATTTCTATTGGAATAGCTTCAAGGAGACCGGGCATTTTTTTGATTCTTCATACCAGCTCAACTAGACTACAGAGCTATAGAAACAAGCAACAGAATAATTTTCACTTCAAATAAGGACTAACTAAGTTATCAAACTAGATCCAATTAGGGGCACTTTAGAAATGTCATGATTATCCTATACTGGTATGATCATTGGATACTTTTATGGTGCTTGTGTCCATGCTATTGCTGGACTGGTATGAAGATAGATATAGGGGACATGGCCTAAAACCCGTTATAATTATTATCAACGTGTGACAACAAACAAGAAATTCAACATAGAACCTAATTATATTGGCAAACCTAATTATATTGGCAAACCTGGATAAAAAACTTCACAAAATTTTATCATCTCCATCAATCCAAGTCGGATAACAGCAGCCTTGGTGTTGTCACCAAATCCGAGGCCATCTGTAAAGCCAGCCGCTGTTGCGACAATATTCTGGAATATATAAAGTTACATGTTAAAAAGACACTATTCTGGTTTTATATGTGAAAACAAGAGCATGTCATTTTTAAAGAATGAAGTGTAGCTCTTTAAAAGTCTTGCCATTCCTATATATTTAAAGAATTGATAATATTTTATTTCATTTGTGGTCAGTTATAAGACCACATTTGAATGCCGATATTTCTTGCCATGTAAGGCTGATATTTCTTGCCATGTAAGTCTGATATTTCTTGCAATGTAAGTCTGATATTTCTTGCCATGTAAGTCTGATATTTCTTGCCATATAAGGCTGATATTTCTTGCCATGTAAGGCTAAATGCTTAAAATTACTCAAGGGCCTGAAAAAATTAAATAAATAATGTTCAAGTTGGCCAGTAGCAAGGCTGTAAAATTCTTACTGAACCTAAAAACAGCCTCATGTAATGACTTTTCTGTTCAAAGACTTTTATAACGACCAGTGTCATTAATTTTCTGTTAAAAGTATTACTTTTTTATTAACCAGTATCATTACTTTCCTCGGCCCTAAACTTTATAAATGTGCAATGGAAAAAGGTTCTCACTTTTAAAGCTCCACAAACTTCTACAGTAGTCTCATCTTCAACAACCACAATACGGAAATAGTTGGTCTGGAAGACTGATTTGAGATTTTGCCCCAGAGCTGCATCGGAGCAACCTGAAATTTATATCAGAACCTAAATGGTTATTTTAACTATATCTCAACAACAAATTCCATTTCATTAATTTTTTCAACTCAAACATAACAACACAAAAAGTTATTTAAGTCTTGCTTCAACCATGTTCACATTTATTGATGTTAAATTAACTCTGTAATATTTGAACTCTATATACCAGATATACCAGCTGAAGCCACACCACTGTGATACAAAATAGTAACATGGAATAGAGAATTAAACTGAATAACATTTCATTTTCACTTGTTTACAATTTAGGCTGTAAACCTGCTTTCAAATTGGCAGTTGATTTAACATAATAATTATAATAAGTCGGGAAAAATGACTAATAGAACAAAATACAATATTTTAAGATAAAATCCAAAAGCATAACAGCTTGTTATTACTTTAAAAATAAATATTTCATTGAAGTTGAGCTGATGTGAAGTAAGACTGTTTCAAGTTGTAAATATAGACCCTGTCACAAACAGGATGCTTGAGGTCTTTTCTATGTATGTACTTAATACTCTATTCATTTATTTGGAATAAAATGCAAAGAGAACTCTCCTTTACATTAGGATAAAAACTCCATTACATTTTTATATCAAAGAATCCAGACATGTGGCACTCTTCCATACAATGTTTCTATGCCAAATGATGCTAACAGAACAACTGCTGCAGAACACGCTAACAGAACAGCTGCTGCGAACACGCTAACAGAACAGCTGCTGCAGAACACGCTAACAGAACAGCTGCTGCAGAACACAATAGACAGCCAGAAAAGTCAGACTTACCCATACACCCACCCATCCCCTGCACCTTATGCAACAGAACATTTTGTGCCAGAATAAGACTGATCAGCCCTCTTCGCACCCACAGATAGATTCAGACTCCAGTAACAAGCTGATGTTTAAAATGGTTATGATCATATACAGATATTTTACTTTACAATACCGGGTTAAATGCAGACCTGCAAAAAATATATGTAGGGGATGCGCGCAGGCGGCCATGGGGGGTTGGTTGGTTTAAGTTCTACATACTAATGCACAAGACTTTTTTTTTAGTCAATAAAGAAATATTGAGTTACCTCCATTGTCTTTGAATGAAGAGTCCATAGAACACCACAGACCATGAGAAAAACATGACTGTAATGTTTATATACAGGTATATACAGCACAGAATATCCATTTTATTTACACATTTTATTTTTATGTACACTAGGGATATGCTGGAAAACTGAACTCTAAGTAGCCTTTTAGCATCATCAAAATTTTTGTGATGGTTGAAAAATTATGTTTTTGAAAAATCTGGATTGTAAGGGGTTTGTCGGAAGGTCAGAATGAGGGGTAAAAAAATCTGTATCATCCCAACAAAATCAGAAGGGTTGGCAGGTCTGCAAATGGTTACATCACAATACATCTCACTCTACCTATGGTTGCCTCACAGTAATTTTCTAGAGCCACCTCGTTGGCTATGTTGGCACCCATCAAGATGGCACAGGGGATGTTCAAAATGGTTCTGATCACTGTTGATATGAGAAGGATGCCACCACCTTCTGCAACCTCAAAGCCCTGTACACAATTTAGACATACATTTTAGAACCTCTTTTTCAAATTCTATAAATCTCTTTTTTTTCAATTTCCATTCATATTTGTTGGATTTTGAGTACTTCATTCAAGTTAGGTCCTCAAAATATTGAACATTTTTATTAATAGTATTCCATCCCCTCTTTATTTTAGTCAATGTTACACCAACCACATACCCTGCTCAATGTTACACCATCCACTTACCTTGATCAATGTTACAGCAACTGCTGTGGATTTGATATTGCCTTTTAATTTTTCACAAACGCCTCTGACAAACTGATGGGGTAGGACAAAGATTAAAATGTCAGCATCCCTGCTTGCATCTACAACATCAGGGATGGCTATCTGGGGAAGAAAGTAAATATTATTCATAAAATCCATATTTTATTGTTATCCTTTTCATAAGTCACCTAGGTGATCACTAAAAATATAAAGCTAGGTTTTAGAAGACAAAAGAAGACAGAACTAGTCATAAATAAATGTCACCTAGGAAGCAATGGGAAGAAAATTTATGTGAGAAACACAAATGACATTGAAACCGAGGAAAAGTTTTACAATTCATCACATTTGTCAACTCTATCGATCATCACATTTTCAACACTATGTTTGGTCAAAAGCATTTATTGAATTAGTGGACACATCATTACAAGCAGGGCAGGAAGTTAACAACCAAAAAACAAAATACATGACTATGATAAGAGAAGAACAGATGGATGAAACCGTTAAAATTAGAAACCAGACTTTTGAATAAGTAAATCAATTCAAATACCTAGGATTGTTATTAAATGAAAGAAATGAATTACAATCAGAAATAAAAGAAAGACTATCAGCCTGAAACAGGGCAAACTTCAGTAGTCAGAAAATACTCAAAAGTAAAAACATTACAAGAAAAACAAAAAAACTATTTATAAAACTGTGATCAGACCAGTTGTAACATATGCAAGTGAAGCTTGGACCCTAACAAAAATGGCAGAAAACCAATTAAACACATGGGAGAGAAAAGTTCTCCGGAAAAATTATGGAACACCAAAGGATGAATATGGATGGAGAATATGAATCAACCAGGAATGGTATATTCAGAATTCCACACTACTAGCAGAAATAACCAGGAATTGTAGATTGTATATCAGGATCGCTAGTAGCAGAATTAAAAAGGGCAGGCTACGCTGTGTGGCACACTCAGAAAGAATGCCAAACGAAAGAGAAGTGAAGAGGGTGCACCACCAAAACCCCAGAGGAACGGCTCAAAGGCAGACCTAGGTTTAGATGGATGAATGATGTGGAAAAAGATCTACAGCAGATGGGAATTCAAGCATGGAAAAGAAAAGCATGAGTAAGGTCTGACTGATGGCCTAACAAGGATCAAGATGGCCAAACAATGATCTATCATGAAAGAACATGTCAGACTTTCTCTAGCTTTACCTTGATCTCATTTAACTAATAGTCCTGTCTCCAGATCAATTCTACCAAATTCTCAACACAAGATATTTTTATAATCCAAACAAAACTTCTTTGTACACATGGTTTTTTTTTCTAGGTCAAGGATCAAGGTAACTGCCCTAGTGACACAACTATGTTAACAGTTCTTGTAGTAGTAGTGATCAAAGTTTAAGTGTTATCTTCTTCCCCCCCCCCCCCCCAACACCCCTTTTTTGGTGTTAACCGTTACAGTTTTTAACCCGGTTACCCTCCCCTCCACCGGTCCCCAGAAACCCCCCAGCACTTAGAGTAAGATATCTTTAAGCTTTACTTAAACTATTTTAACGTAGTTTGAAAAGCATTTAAAAAATAAAAAACCGNACAAAAAAAGAGGGAAAAAAAAAGAAGGAAAAACATGGGAAAAAAAGGGGAAAGGGGGGGGGGGGAGGGGGCGGGCGGCAGCCAGAAACTCCTCTTAAGCAGTCCTGCAGAATGTAGATAGGTTGTACAGAAACTGGAACACAAACTAAATCCTAGATTAGTAAGAATTAATAGCATATGTTTAGGTAGGGATTGTACAAGAAGATAGCGGGGTTACTTGACTATACTTGCAAATGTTATGATAAGAGTTAATTCATAGAGCAATGAGATTAGTTCTTGGGCTTCCTTCTAATAAAGAAATAAAATGTGCTGGAAAATCAAAGTGGATGACATACAAAAAATGTATTTTTTCTAATAAAATCTACTTTGGAAACATGTATAAAAATGGGATAAATTTAAATAATTCCATAATTTCATTGAGGAGGCTTGTCTGTTCCCTTTTCAAATAAATATTGTGTACTGAAAATTTGTCAGAGTTAAGGAAACTTAGGTGTTTTCCTTTACAAAAATAAAATTGGTTTGAAAAATCAATATTTATAATATTATCAAAACTTTTGTTTTTAATAAAAAGCAAGTATTTATGCTTGAGACAGCTTGTAAATTTCATGGTGTTGTAAATGTTATAAAAGGTTCAAAACTCAGCTCCTAGGCGAGTTCTAAAGGCAAAAAAATGTGATCATGTAACACCACTACTTTATTCACTTCATTGGCTCCCTGAACAAGCATGGATTGACTACAAACTCTCTGCCACAACTTTTTCTCGAATTCCTGCCCTTCCTATCTTACAGAACTTCTTTCTGTCTATTCACCCCTTTGACAGGTTCGCTCCTCCGCAGACATGAATATTCTTTCTGTCCCTAAGACTCGCACAAAAACATATGCTGAACTATCTTTCTCTTTATGTGCCCTTAAACAATGGAATTCTCTTTCATTACACATCCGCAATATACCAACCATCACAGCCTTCAAAACTGAACTCAAAAACACTTCTTTTTAAACTCTACTATCATGACTAATTCCTTTCTGACCGAAAAACGATTCTGCTGGGTGTCGTCCATGGCTTGAAATGTAAATAGTTTTAAATATACATTTGTTTTGTTTTATTTAATTAATGTGGGTTAATTAATTTTTTTAAGTCTATGATTATGTTTGTTAAATTGTATGTACAGCTTGATGAGCCCAGCCCTAGGCTGGGGTACCACGCTAATATAAAACCACTTATTATAATAATAATAAATGATCAGGTATTAATTTATGTCTGTGCCCATTGAAAGATATGAAAAGTATTAATAAACATGATGTGAATACATATTTATTTCATCTAAGGGTGCAACTTATACACGAATATAATCCAATATATTCAGTAAGTAAGAAAACTGAAACTGCCATCAGATTTCAATACTGAGAATCTAAATTTTAATGACAAGCAGATACTGTCAAGATATATGTCTTTTTCTATATTTTTGGGACCAGAGCACTGATGACACTTAAAGTATTTCCAAATTCAGCATGCAAATGCATTAGGTGAGGCAAATCCATCAAAGATTAAATACCCAACACATCTGACTGTTAAATGTTCATAATAAGAGGATGTGAACATAATAGTAATAAATATTTAATTAATAATAAAATAAAAACATGACATTACAGAAGAGAAAAGAATGTTATAAAAGAATAAATCCATAAATGAAGTCACCCATCTTTGATGATTTGCCACGATGGGGAGGGGAGGTAAACATTTGGATAGAATAATGTGACTGCATTTATGAATGGCCCCCCAAAATATCATAAGTAGAAAAGAATAATGGAATGAAGCACAAAAATTTAGAAATGCTATTAACTGTATGTAAAATACAATACTTTCTTTTTCAAATACTAGCTTACCACTTTTTCTGGTAATTTGATGCCTTTTAAGTATTTGACATTTTCATGGCGTGTATTGATGATTTCTGTCAATTTTTCTCCCTCTATAATTTCTTCAAAAACCCACATCTTCACTTCTGAATCAAACTGTGCTGGTAAGGCCAAGGCATTGTTGCCCACAATCTTTGCAATAGCTGAGCCCCTTGAAATAATAGGATTTATAAAATTAATGCATTATTACAAATTATTAAAAGACCGACTAAAAAATTAAACATGATAATTTTTTTTTCCAAATGCTTGAGCAATGAAGAAAAGAAATCAATCAAATAGCCTTGGACTTGATTCTCAAAAAAAAAAGCCGACTAAGGAATTTTTAAAAAGTAAAATTCATTTTGGACATTTGAGAAAACAGAACTTAGAACTGTAATATAACTATCACAAATGGCCTTTTTCGAGTAGCAAGGCATTATTAATAGCCAAGTTAGGCCCCTAATAATAGTGGTAAGCCTAGGGTTCTGGGTGGCTATGTAGAGTTTCAAGTTGCTATACACTGTTGTGCCTCCAGTAATAAACAACTCACAAGCAAACAAGCTGGCCAAGATATGGTTTCTCCCCCCACCCCCCCCCCCCTGAAAAAAACTTTGAAAAGATATTCCTGGTGTCAAGTCTGCTACTCAAGCCTTGGACACCTTTGTGTTCAAACAATAATGATAGTAATATGTAAGCTGATCTTACAAAGTAAGGTATTATTTAATATAGGCATAGGCTCAATAAAAGATAAATTATTAGACCAGAGATCTGTAAACTCCAGCCTTTGGCCAGATACGGCCTCTCTAATATCCCAGTCCACTTTAACACCCAATTAGTTTTTTATTATTGCATCCGGCCTAAATGAATTGTAGATATTTTATTCCCCTTCATTACCGCTGCTTGAAACTCAAGCTGTGCTTTATTTTTTGAACTGATTTCAAGCACTGTTATGAAACAAAAGTGCCTGACCAGGGAGGGTTGATAAATGTGTTGTAAACATGTTCACTCCATGGTCTGTTGCAACCACCCTCAGCAGGGTCGAGGCGTGTGTTAAGCACGTGTTTGTACTGTGACTGAATGAATAATTCCAAGAAAGAAGAATGGGAGTGCAGACAATCTTTCAGATACAACACTCTGCAGCCAATTCTATTTCCTTAGGCACAATGTCTCTTCAGGCCTTCTGTACCTTCTTGACCCCTGTAATGGCTTAATTGTCAGAAAATTTTGCCAACCTCTGCATTAGACCAACTAATTTTATCTCTCCTTGTCCTAACCAGTGTAGTTAAATATTGCCATTAGCCTACTTACATTAACTGACATCTACTTAAATAGCTTAATTTAATACTTAGAAACTGATAGCACTACTAGTACTAGTACTTACTAGTAGTATCTAGTACTAGTAGCAGTACACTCTCGAGTGGATCATACAAGCTGGCAAGCCAGATTCACTGTTTGAGCACAATCACTCAAAGAATATATGCACCACCTTTGCCTTACCCCAAGAAAGTGTGAAGCAAGGAAAAGCAGAATTGCTCTGTCTATGACTATGACATCAAAGCATATGTGTCCTACAGTGTGGGGACAGCAAAAATAGGTCTGGCAAGCCCCCTCAGAATTGAGTTCTCACTGATTGATGTATCCAAGAACGAACACTGTTGTTCGCCCCTACAAAACAGGCTATTTAACTATACATTTCTCTTCTACTTCTACTTATCTAGCTCTAGTTCTAGTCTATTTAATAAAATAAAAATAATTTAAATAATAAAGGCCATCTCTATCAATATTTATTTTTAGGCCTAATCTATTAGTTTTTCTATTATAATTAAAGTTAGGTCTACAGTATAAATCAATTCAAAAATAATAAATAGTATAATTTGAATGAATAGTTTAAAAATAGCCTGGCGACCGATACTTTTTTTTTTCTTGTTGCCAACTTGTTGGTCTAATTCTTAGTCTTGTTAGTTCTAACAAAATTATTATTATTAAGAAACAAAGAGTCTACTGACAATCGTTAAGTAGATGTACTTACCAATTTCCTGAACCAACAACACAAATTTTTGTAGGTGGCATATCTGTATGATGGGTTGAACAAAAAAAATGTCCCGAACGGGTAAAGTAGTTGCTTGCTGAACGGGACTTTGTCAACAATGCAAAGAACTTTGAGCTCACATTATACCTAATATATTGATGACACCAAATACCGCAACATGTACATAAGTGTGTTAAACACACACAAACAATTTTTAAAAATCTCATACAGAACACAATGATGATTTTTTTTTTACTTTAAAAGTTTAATTTAATTAATTATATTATATCATACTGATAAATATATCATAGTGAATTTGGGTACTTCAAATTTAATTTAATTTAATTTTAATTTGTTTCAATACACAAATAAATAAAATATACAAACATATTATTTGTAAAAAAAAAGAGTTTGTATCAAATACGATTTAAATCGCACTTACAGGTAGAAAAATTACACTATCTTAAAATGCATTACGCAAAGAAAGTATTAAAATTGTAATCTTTAATTTAAATTATCGACAAAAGTATAATTATTTACTTTTTTAACCAACAAATGTTTACAAAATCCCGGATAAAGTGGCTTAAACTAAGAAGTAGATCCTAGTTCACCCACCCATCTGTTTACTCAACGAAGCAGACTCTGTCACAGTAATTTGAGCTATATTGTCAACCCCCGTCTGTCGACCCAGTATTCTTTTCCAGCCGTTTAACTGGTAAACAGTGCACGACAAACACTCAATATCAAAATGTCACATGGGTAAACAAAAAAATATGCTCTACAAGATGAAATGTGAGTAGCTATAAAGTCTTTAAAAACAAAAACAAAAGACACATTCTTATAAAATTAGAAATGAAATTAAATGTATGCATGTGCTTATAGTATTTTTACTTTACTATCATTAATGGCCAGTCTCTATGTCCATTAAAATGCACATCTTTAAAATGCCAGTAATTAAAATAAACTAATTATACAAGGTTTGGACTGCGATAAATCTTTAAATAAGATTAATTAGACACGAACAATTTGTTTCACTATAACGACATATGTTAAACTTTAATAATAATTTTACATAATACACAAATAGACGTTTCGGCACATGCCTTCATCAGTATAAGAACAAAACATATAAATAAGTATAATGTAATTTTACATATATATATATGCATATATCCTACCTAAAAAGGAGACAAAATAGGATAAGGTGCAAAAAAACAGTCATTAAAATAAATGTCATAACTTAAAATTTTATCTTAACCGTTATGGCGAGAGGTTAACGCTTAACGTGATTAGCTTTTCAAAAGAAAATTAAAAAGGACATTTACATTACATTTGAATACATTTTAGATAATCATTAATGCGGTTGTTGTTGTTTTGTTTTTTTGTGGGGGGTTCTGTTTTGTTTTTCGGGGTTTTTTTTTTTTTTTTTTTTTTTTTTTTTTTTTTTTTTTTTTTTTTTTTTTTTTTTTTTTTTTAAAAAAAAAAAAAAAAAAAAAAAAAAAAAAAAAAAAAAAAAAAAAAAAAATTTTTTTTTTTTTTTTTTTTTATTTTATTTTTTATTTTTTTTTTGTACTGAATTTTGGTTTTCGGTAAATAGACTTTACAAGCCCACATCTGGCATTACACAACTCAACTATTTATAGATATTTAAAAAAAAACACGTAAAAACAAGTTTCTTAATTAAAGTGAAACAAAATATGAGGTGATCTCTTATTTTAGAGAACAGGCTTACAGTGCAAATGGAAAAACAATTTTTTTCATTGTTAACTTTAAAAAATAAATATCAACCTTGACCCATTATTAATATATCTAAGCTGATTATTTATGTTTTAAAAGTAGCATTATTATTGTCTTTTTGTCTCAAATCAAAAACTATTCGAAAATTGAGGAGATAAAACAAAAATTACTCACAAATGCATCTTTCATTCTTTATTCAGGATTCAGGGCGTCATCGTAGAGAACTCAAAAATTAAAAATACCTTTACTTTAAAACCCAACGAAAATATAAGATAAACGAATGAAAACAATAAATACTTTTGCTTTTAAACTACTGAAATATTTAAATGTGGTCCGATCCGGTAAATAGGATTTTATTATTTTTTAAAAAATAAATTTAAAAAACGCTAAATAATGATCATTCCTCCAGTGCGCTAAAAATAAGAGATAGTGAGTCCAATGATACAACTGGAATTAGTTTTTAATTTCAAGATTTTGACATCACATTGCTGTTGTTTTAAAATTAAAATAATTTTGTTTAAGCACAACAGGAGCATCGAGGCAGCGTGCGGCCCCAGCCCTATTGTCTAGTATTGTAGAAGCCTATTTTCGTACGGTATGTATTTATGTATATGTTTGCACACGGTCGTAGCACTCGTGTGAAGAGATAGCCGCCCAAGGCGCTAAAATCATAAACTGCACATACATAGTTAGGTCTATAGCTACAAGCCATGACAGTGAAACTTGAGGGTGCTAATTGCCACCGAAGGTGCTCGAGCGAAAGTAGGGGTTGGGGTATAAGGAAGAGCTAATTGTGCACCCTCCCCCCCCCCCCC